GGCCCTGGTGTGTGCGTGTGTCCTCTGCTGGACTGGCATCCTGCCTTGTGCTGGCCCAGACAGGCTCATGGCCCTGTACTGCAGACAGCAGTTAGACAATGGGTGGCTGGATGAACACTGACTCTATTTTGACATTTACAGTTCTGCTGGTTCTCTTCTTTAAGATGCAGCAGCGTGCTGGACAGTCACATCCACCGGAACAGCCCTGCCAAATGCCTGCTCCACATTCTCCACTGCGGTCTGAAAAAGCCCTCCGTTAGCTCCAGCCTGACCCCAGGACACTGCATCATCCCGACTGGCACCAGAACACTTGCTCTTTGTCTGCGCAGAAGGATCGCGACACAGGAGTGAGACGCGTCTCACACCCGACTTCCTGGCCTGGTTATACGGTATACACAGCAAAAGTGTCTTTAGTTCTGACATTTTTAACATGCAAGTCTCATTCAAACACTTACACACACTCCTCATACACACGCGCACTCACTCACAATCTCACATGCACACACTCACACAGACTGTCACTGGCTCTCACACGCGCACAATCACACACACCCATTCGTGCACTCACACAATCACACACACACTCACACTCTCACACACTGTCATTGGCTCTCACACAGGTGCACACTCACAATCACACGCTCACTCACACACACTCATTCGTGCACTCACACAATCACACACACTCATTCGTGCACTCACACAATCACACACACACTCACAATCACACACACTGTCATTGGCTCGCACACACACGTGCACACTCACAATCACACGCTCACTCACACACAATCCCACACATGCACACTCACAATCACACACACTGTCATTGGCTCTCACACACGTGCACACTCACAATCACACGCTCACTCACACACACTGTCATTGGCTCTCACACACACACAATCCCACACATGCACACTCACAATCACACACACTGTCACTGCCTCTCACACTCACTCATGCACACACACGCGTGCACTCACACAATCACACACACTGTCACTGGCTCTCACACTCACAATCACTCACTCACGTGCGCACTCGCACAATCACACACTCACGTGCGCACTCACAATCACACACACTGTCACCGGCTCACACACACACACACCCTCTTATTCCTATTCGGACTGCGAGCCAGCCAGGTGCCGACTGGTGTCCCGGGACAGCCCACTGGAGCTCCAGCCCAGGTGCCCTCCTCCTCCTCCCCCCCCCCAAGGCTGCGGCCGACACAAAGCTGCTCCTTTCAGCCCGGGCCGGCCCACCGGGGGCCGTCGCGGGGCCCGGGACAGGCGGGCAGTGTCCGCGGGGCGCGGAGGAGGAACAAAGCCCGCTCTGTTGGAGCCCCCCGCCTCGCCAGCTGGCCGGGCCTGGGAGCCTCGCAGCTCCGACTCAACGACGGCCCCCCTGTCCCAGCAACCCTTCCGCATCGCAGCTCCACGACACAGCGGCCCAACAGCTGTCTTTACCCAGAGGTGCGAACCTGCCCTTAGCCACACTGCCTCTCCGCTGCGAGCTGTGGCCCAGAGGGGACGGGCAGGGCCGGATTTCCCATGAGGCTCTGCAGGCACAGTGCCCAGGGCCCACGCAGGAGGGAAACACGAGTGACTCACGAGAAACGGGCTGGACCAACAGGCCTGCGATGGACTCCAGGTGCTCCAGATCAACGATCAGACGCTGTCCAGCGGCTCTTCTAGAGACTAGGAGTGTCGAAGTGACAGTCGCTCGGCTCCGTCAGTCACGCGGTTTGGCATGAGAACAGTTCGAAGTGCGTTAATCGGCGCCGTTCAACTGGTAATTACTAGCGGACAGAACTATGCTGTGTGTGTGTGCGCGCGCGCGCGCGCGCGCGTCCCCCGTCCAGGCCGTACCCCCCCCTTGAGCCCGCTGCTTGCTGGGATAGACTCCAGCTCCCCCGCGATCCTGAATTGGATAAAGCCGTTGGAAAAATGCTGGAAGGTATTCTGATCATCACCCAAACACGTAGATCACATACGTCACGCAGGTTTAAAAAAAAATCACAGTATTTCCAGACTCGTTCGATCATCCCAATCCGGCAGAGCGCAACCCCAACAGAGGATTCCCTTGGGAGGTTTTTTTTTGGGGTTCTTTTTACAGTAAAGTGAGAGACAGAGAGAGGAGTTCAATTTGCCACAGTGAGATTCTTACTGGCTCTGTCCTCTCGGGACAGTCACAGCACACAGCACTCGGGACAACACTTTCACACGATGTGCACGGTGAATTCAAAACAGTAACAATAAGAATTATTATTATCATGACAATCACAGTCAACCATCCTCCACAACAACATACTTCGGATCATACAGAACAATAAACAGTAGTGATAAGATCGGATCACTCTATTGGCCAGATACAGTGTCTCGCCTGAGGAATGTGTCTTTTCTCAGACCCCAGCTTGCTCTCCAGGAGACACACAGACAGGGAGAGAGAAGCTGGGGGTCAGAGCGCAGGGTCGGCCATTTATACAGCACCCCTGGAGCAGCTGGGGTGAAGGGCCTCGCTCAGGGGGGGCCCCCACGGAGTAGGATTCCTCTGCTGGGCCACGGGATTCGAACCGGCAACCTCCCAGCCACAGGCGCAGGTCCTGAGCCACAGAGCCAGCGCACCGCAGGATGTACGGGATTTCTCCTCGCACCTTTCCCTCGTGATGGACACAGGGAAAACAGCCGTGGAGGGGAATCCAATCGATCTGGAATTCAAACCAGCAGCATCACATAGAAGCCCAAGGCAGCAGTACGGATCTGTGGCCAGGGCTGGGGCGGGGGGTTGCGGGATCAAGTCCTGGGGTGAGGCACAGCTGGGCAAAAAACGCAGGGAAAAACGGGGGCCGGAGCCACGGAGCTCGGGATCGAGCCCCTCCGATCCAGAACAAACCCGCGGGCCGATCATCGTTTTAACCCCAGGCACGCGCACAGGGAGAAAAGGACGCGGGAGGTTCAACACCGCACGCCGTGAAACGCAGGCGTTAGAGGGGGGGGGGGGGGCTGGAGGGCCTATCGCCGCCCAGATCTCCTCTGCCCCGGGGGGGTGTACTGTTCTTCCCAAACGACCTGCAGTGGTCTCCTCACCGGGGCTGCGGGCGTCTACTGGGAATCTGCCAGCAAAACACGCCTCCCCTTCAGGGGCAAAGGGGGAAAGGGCAGCTTCATAGAGCGCCGAGGGGCTGATTGCGCGCGCACCGCGATCGAGACGAAGGAGGGCGCGTGCCGGAACTTTGGCCTGGCTCAGCTGTACACCTGTCAGTCAGGGGGCGAAGTTCACCGGGGCGATGAGTTCTCAGTGCTCAGGCTGGAAACTACGGGAGTCCAAAGGCAAAAACGCAGACGTGCAGACAGAGGGATGTGAAAGACAGTCCCAATAAGGGCAGCGACCTCAGCACGGGGCTTGTGATAGTCACATTAAGATAAGATCAGATCACTTTATTGGCCATTTACAGTTTCTTGCCTGGGGAATGTGTCTTTTCTCAGACCCCAGCTTGCTCTCCAGGAGACACACAGACAGGGAGAGAGAAGCTGGGGGTCAGAGCGCAGGGTCGGCCATTTATACGGCGCCCCTGGAGCAGCTGGGGTGAAGGGCCTCGCTCAGGGGGGCCCCCACGGAGTAGGATTCCTCTGCTGGGCCGCGGGATTCGAACCGGCAACCTCCCAGCCACAGGCACAGGTCCTGAGCCACAGAGCCAGCGCCCCGCCCCACCACATTCCCACCAGACCTGCTGTTTCGGATTCCCGATTGATCTTGGCGCTGATCACGGCACGTAGGCACCACTCGGGGCTCCCAGAAATTCTGTCACAAATCCGCGCCTGCGTGTATCCAAACAGTGGGTTGCCTGGTGTTCTCTTGTTTAGTTCTTTACAATAACAGTCAAGCACACGATATTATTTCAGCAAAAAGTCTCAAATAAAAAAAGTGCCAAATAAAGTACCCCATGTACTTTCAAAACAAGTAAAACACAAAACATTTTGAGCATTAGAGCTTCACGAACAAAATATATATATATTCCTCTGTATTGGACATCTACAGCTCTTTATCTGTAGGGGTGTTACCCCAGTGTCCTGGCCCAAATTTCCCCCCTGGCCTTTACCCCTCATGGCCTCCTAATAACCCCCCTCTCTGAACTGGCTCCATCCCTCTGCTCTCCTCCCCACTGAGAGCTGGTGTGTGTGAGAGGACTGGAGCATCATCCAGGTGGGGCTGCACACTGGTGGGGGTAGTGGGATTCCCCCTGACCTGGGAAGAGCTCGGAGTGGAGGGTCCAGAAAAGCACTACACCATTTCTAACACTTGTGATTATCCCTTGATGCTTCCTAAAGAAGCATCTGCCAGAGAGAAACTCGAGACACAGTATTTGGGCCCATTAATGGACTCTCTCTCCTCTTTATGGGATATGATTGAACAAACACGACTGCACTTCGGCGAAGCCCGTCTGATCATTTTCACACAGCCCCGACAGAAGCAGAAACGAACGCACACCGAATGGAGCTTTCACAGTTGCAGGTCAGTGGATTCTTTAATCGATAATGGAGACGGAGAGCACGTAATTCCTGCGATCTTGCGGAGGAGCTTGCACGTGCCGGCAGGAATAACAAGACCACAGAATCCGGGTTTTCAGGAACTAGGGGTGCCCCCCGGGAGCCATGCAGGAGCACAGGGCTGAGGACAGTGGTTCTCAGTGCCGTGCAACATTCCAGCAGGCAACCAAGGTAAACAGGGAGGCCCACGGGAGAGGGGGTGGGGGGCAGGGCGAGTCAGACCAAGGGCCCTCCCTCCCACCAGACACCCCAGGGAGCAGAGCCCAGACAAGCGGCCACACATCTGTACCAGGAGGGGCCAATACACAGCCGTTACCCCCAACAGAATCCCCCCTCCCCCCAAAAAAACAAACAACAGCCATGCAGAACAACTTAGGTGCGATGAAAACCCTCCACCGTGAGCAACGGGGATTCGCGATCTCAAGAGGCCAAGCGAGTTCTGGTCGGAGAGGAATCGATCGATCGCCTCGCAGTTCCGTTTCACTTTTCAGACGGGGCCCTTAGATCGTGCGCTGCAGACGAGGGGGTCTGGTCGAAGAGCTCTGTCTGTTAACAGAGGCGGGGGTGGGGAGCAGGGACGTGCACGGCTGGGTTTCTGGCTAGGAGGGTGTTGAGGCCGCAGCGCCTCAAAAGGCGTGATCAGTTTTTTCCAGTGAGTCAGGGAGCCGTCTGGAAAGCAACAGACAAGACAGCTCTCGTCCTGCAGGCGCGGAAAACCTCCCCCGCTGGGGCCATGCACGGCCGGCTTGCGCTGGGGGGCACACACACACATCGCGGCCCCCTGCCCGCCCCAACACGCCCAGAAAGAGACAGATCGATATATATATACCCACGGCCGCACACACCCGTGAACAAAACTCGCACCCGTGGAAGCCCCAAATGAAAATGTCCTGGCTTGCAGCAACCCTGTACGAGTTCCAGACGTCTTCAACTGTATTTACCGCCCCCCAAATCCCCAGAGATCTCTCAAATACGTCCTTCCTCTTTAATAAAAGATCAAGCAGAACCGAACCGTCAGGCGCCGCAGACAGATGTTCAGCCCCCCCCCTCGCGCCGAAGGTCAAAGGGGAGCCGTCTCCCTCGCCACCGTTACTAGGCAACGCCTCCGGATGAGGTGCCCGGCGGCAGGTATTCAGCGGCTGAAACACAACTCCTCTTCCTCCTCCTCCTCCTCCACGCCGCTTTCCGTGGAGGAATTTACACAGCAAACACCCGACATGTCCCTTTCCATGCCCAAACGCCCCCCCACTCCAATCTTTTACAGACGTTTCACGGCGAAACTGTGTGATAGGGTCCAGCTGTTAATATCGCTTAAAACCATCAGCTCTCGTAGGGGGTTACCGGAATGGGCGATTGGTGTTTTGACTTCGGATGATTTTGTAATTTTCTTAAAAATAAACCCCGTCGGGGATACCACCATTTAAATAAAAAAGTTAACTCACCTACAGCGCACACACACACACACGCACAAGAAAGCTCACTTTTGTGTTTGTGCAAACTTGGCACGCTTTGCCGAGCGGGGCGTCCCGAGCACAATCCAGCGTTTGTTTTCAACTCCGCAATGCCAAGCAAAAAAAAAGTTAAACAGTATTTATATATATATTTATTTTTGTCTTTACTCACGGTGTTGTACAGGGCAGTGTCGCCTTCTCCGGGCTCGGAGAGCTCGCTGAGATTTCTATCCCAGTACAGGAGTGGCTCTCCGCCGTCCAGTATCTCCATCGTTTATATTTAAAAAAAAAAAAGATCGCCGTGAAGACGACTACAGCGGAAAAAAAAAACCCAAACAATTCGATGTTTCTATATAGGGGGAACGGATCGTCTTGCAAAAACAGTATTAACGATGACAACCCTGGGAAATGATGCCCTTATAACAGGATCAAACGTTGTTTTGTTTTGTTTTTTGCACGAAAATAACTGCGCAAGTTAGCGAAGGACACACTTAAGTTATTTATTCATGATTAAATGTTGTTGTTGTTGTTGTTGCTTTTTTTGCTTCGGTCCTTCAAAAGCCCCCCATCCCAGCGCTTCGTTTTCCAAAACCAGGATCGCCGCCCGATCGGTCTGTTTATGTTTTTCTTGTTTAAAAAACGTTTAAATCCAGTTCCTTCCCCAAGTGAAGAATTTCCCGTTCCAGACGAGACAGGAATCCGGGGGGCGGGGAGAGGTGGGGATATTACAGATTGGGGGACCCGATCCCTCTCAGACGACGTCCAGTGAGACTCTTTCGTCTCAGTGGAGGGCCCGCCTCTCATCCCTTGCTGCACGGAATCGGCGACACCCGGAAGCACCGCCCACTCCGTTCCTCTTCCGCCCAATCGGCGTCCGCACCGCCGAAACATCCCGCCTCCCCCCGCGGAAGCTATAGGCCACCTCGCCTGGCTCTCACCTTGACCGACAGCCCGCTCAGCGTATGGGGAGAGGGGGCTGCCCTGCTTGACCGCCTACCGCTGATGGACAGGTACAACTGCCAATCCGTGAAGGCCGAACCCCCCCTCCAATCCGTTCTGGCCAATCACATATAGACAAGAATACCAATCGGTAACACGCCCACGTTGGGGCGCCCCATCCTTCCCATGTGAAGCCTGTCCACCAATCACAACACAGGAATGCCACACAGACCCTCCCACTTTTGCAGGAAACCATTCCCCTTGGATGAACAGGAGGTACTTCATGCGCCTTGTTTTTATCCAAATATTGTGAGATACCCTCACCCACCGCTCTCATTATAAGTAAAAATATATTTTTTTACAACTGTATTTCTTGTGTGTGTGTGTGTAGGACTTCATAGACAGGGGTTTCCAGTATAACAAGTATTAACGAGATGGTTTTCTGGGGTCCCTCACTTCACGACTTAATTTTTATTTTGTTAGCGGGCTCCTGGACTCAAGGCGAGCTCCTTTCACGACCTCTAAGAAAACACTGCAAATATACAACGCCGAAGAAACGTACCGAGCAGTTACCAGTTCACAATCTCGTCTGAAAGTACGGAGGCAGTATTACGGCCTTCTCATTACACCAAGGAGCGGATTGCAAAAGTAAAGTTTTTTTTTTTTGCAAAAGGAAGTAAACCCGCTTGACTGATGACAACATTTCCTGGGAGAGAAGTCAAGTTTGGAGATGTCGTTTGCGGACAGTATGAGTGAGTGTGTGTGTCCGTGTGTGTCCTGTAATGGACTGGGATCCT